GCGTTGCAGTTTTAATTTAAATAGACCATAAGTGAATGATTTCGACTTGAAAAAGAAGGATTTAAAAGCATGATATGATACCTTTAAGTGTAAATATGATTTTCATTTTTTGTGACTAATTTATTTGATGTGAAAATACTATGTGGACTCTGTAGTAATTTCATCCCCTTATAAACGTGTGTTTCAGTTTGTCTTGTAGAAGCTCTGTGCTGAACTGCCTCAATACATTTTTTTATAAACATGTGAAGTAAAATGATGGCTGGGACTTTTATTCTCAATGTTCAAGTCTTGTACAGTGTTTCAACACAAACAATATAAATAACAGCTTACACTCCATAAATGTAATTACAGTAAGAACTTTGATGTGCATTCTGCTGACATTTAACTTTTAGGATAATAGTAGAAATGGTTGTCTTTATATAGGGAGCTTTTTACGTTACTACTACTTTGAGTTTGGCAGAATATTTTCTAGTCAATAAAAGAAATGCACAAACAAAATGGTTAATGACACATAATGCCATTTATTCAATTTAAAAGTGAGGTTTTCTAAATCGACACAATTGAGCCATTCAGTATCAGCAATACTATGTGAAACGTATGTTGTAATATGTAAGTTAAAGTTAAGTTAGAGTGAATTTAATTGTGGTTGAATGAGAAGTATAAATATATACAACTCTGACACTGTATTAGTTTGTACACAAACAAATCATGTCACACTCCAGCAGGACATAATCATTAAAATAAAAGAACTGTACTTAAGAAGTATTTGTATTTCATGAAATATATTAGTATATTTGGCTGCAGCCCTAAGATAGATTTTCATTTTTGGGGAAAATGTTTGTGCAGCCTTGATATATGTATATAAACTGAAACAGCTTGACTAGTGCATCCTAAATTTAACATCAATTAATTATTTTAATACAATATAGTCATTTCTGCAGTTTTTGGGGAGGTCACTGCCTAATAAATGTCATTACAGAAATTCTAACTGCTCATTTTAAATCAATACTTTGACTTTTAATACTTAAGTACAAAACATATCAGATACTTTAAGACTTTTACTCAAGTAATATTCCTAAAGGAGACTTTAACTTTTACCAAAGAAATTTTTTGGTAAGATACTTGTAATTTTTCTCAAGTATCACTTTGTGGTACTTTATACAACACTGCACAGGTCGAATTTCTTTTGAGTTCTTTTTAGTCGTCAGTTGAAATGTTCAGCTGCCAGAGGTGCCATGCCACCATCAGCACCTACTGCTACAGACTTCTCTGCAGCACACATCTTCAGTGAAGGCGCCCAGTCTGGATCATCCTTGCTGTACAATGGAGCACGTTTGCCTAAGACAAGAAAAAATATAATAAAATAATTGCTGAACTGAAGTTGTAAATAATTGGTGCGTTAATCTGCATATGAATTTCAAAACAGGATTTACAACATAGACATGGATTGTCAGTCTTCAAACAACAAAAGAACAGTTAATTTAGGTTACTGTATGTGCTTCTTACATATTTAGTGTTTTTATGTATTCTTGCTTTTCAAATAGAGAGCTAGATGTGTAGTTTCTCAAGATTGATTCATTAACAACCAAGAAAACAGTATTGTTTACTGTGTCATGATAGTGCCGTTTACTTTGTCATGATAGTACTGTTTACTATGTTGTGACAGTACTGTTTACTATGCCATGATAGTACTGTTTACTATGTCATGATAGTGCTGTTTACTATGTCATGATAGTACTGTTTACTATGTCATGATAGTACTGTTTACTATGTTGTGACAGTACTGTTTACTATGTCATGACAGTACTGTTTACTATGTTGTGACAGTACTGTTTACTATGCCATGATAGTACTGTTTACTATGTCATGATAGTACTGTTTACTATGTCATGATAGTACTGTTTACTATGTCATGATAGTGCTGTTTACTATGTCATGATAGTGCTGTTTACTATGTCATGATAGTACTGTTTACTGTGTAATGATAGTACTGTTTACTATGTCATGATAGTACTGTTTACTATGTTGTGACAGTACTGTTTACTATGTCATGACAGTACTGTTTACTATGTCATGACAGTACTGTTTACTATGTTGTGACAGTACTGTTTACTATGCCATGATAGTACTGTTTAGGGGTG